TATATATATATATATATATATATATATATAACAGTCATGTATGTAGCCTAAACTGTACTAAGATGAATTTTCATTTTACTTGAATATGAGAACTTTAGAATAAACAATACAATTATTAACATTTAGCAAGAGTTTCCTGCCTTACCAAAATTCCAGTTATTTTAGTCTTTGGGCTGAGCATAGCTCAGTGGTTAGCATTACTGGGAACGAAAATCATGCTCTGCACTTTGGGACCATGAGTGATTTATAAGAGTGAAAGTCAAATCCCACTATTCTGTAGAGAGTATCCTGGAGTTGGCAGTGAGTTCTGTTGACTTGGTGCTTTACCTCTAGTCTGTCATGTCAAATTATAGAAAAGTTATCACAGATAGCCATTGAGTAGCTTTGTGCAAATATCCAAAAACAAATTTTAGTCTTCTGCTGCTTTATATGTCATGACTTTACAGAGGTTTTGATGAAAATATCTCACAATAGTTTACTCAACTCAGATTTGTATAGAATATGGAAAATTATCAAAGAATTAATGAGAAGTTTCTAGTTTAATTATTGTGATGATAAGGTTTCTTCTGGGACCAATATTTATGTAAATAGTATCGGTGTAAGTCATCTGAATTTGCTAATGTGCAAAACTGATAAGAAACTGAATTCAAAATATTCTTGAAAGACTTAGTGAACAGTCAAATATATTGGAAATATATTTCAAAAATGAGTGTGAAAGTTTTTATTGATGTCAGACTGGACTGACTAAAAGCATGTTGATGATGATAATTTATAAGTTTTTAATATGAAAGTAAGAAAATTTTCTTTTTTTATAACTGGCTAGATTTCATTATGGAAACTTCCCTCATTTTCACCATCTTTATTCAAATATGTGGAGGCTGCAGAGTAGCATTATAATAAAGTTCATAGCCAGGTTAAATTATATGGGCTCCCAAGAGGCATTGATATCCTATCTTTATAATTGTAAAAACCAGAGATGATATAATGCAAGTTTTCTAAAGTATGTATAAATTAAATACTTTTTACTCACAAGATTGTAATGTTGACTGAAATGTTATAGCCATAAACCTGTGGTTGGTTCTGATCAAGGAAGTCAAACTTTGAGATAATAATTGCAAATTGCTAAAGTAAACCTTTTTCAATACTTTTAACTTTGTTTCTACAGTGTTTTACGATGCAAGTGTTGTTTGCTTTTTTTTAGTAATAGAAGCTGTTAAAGTGTACCTAACATTTATTACTGTGGTATTATTTAATCATTAAGAAAGAAATTTAAACTTTAGGTTTTAGTAACTAGAGTAGGTCAGTGAATTTAATGTTGATAGTAGCTGTGAAATTATAAAACATTTTATTTCAGCAAAGTCCACATAAATTGAGTGTAGTTTTATATATAAAGTCATTATGTATTACTTTAGGTCCCAGCAAAGGAATTCCCAGTTTAGTTCTGAAAACAAGGGTGGTAATGACATGTCTGCAAAAGAAGCATGGGAAAATGCAAGAAAAGCCTTGAATATGATTAGCAACAAAGAATCAAGTACAGATGAAACTTCATTGCAACCACAGATACATCAATTCAGCAACAACATGCAGTACTGGCAGCCAAGTTTGTATGTTTATCCTGGGTAAGATTGTGCTGTTATATGTATATAAGCCTAATTTAGTTTTCATAAGTTATTATAAAATTGCACAATGCAAGTAAATTGATCCTAGTTCACTCGTATATTGTTGTAACACATTTCATCATTGGCTGGGTTCTTATGGATTATTTGGTAAAAATAATTAAATGTCTAGGTTAAGTGAGGGCTCGATTTTAAGGAAATTTCCAGGTTGTCTAAAAAATAAAAACGTAGACCCTTAAAAATGCTCCAATTACAACAATATTGATGTAAAAATACCCAAAAAAATGAACCAATTACTAGAATTTTGATGTTTTTATATCTTATTTATTTCCATAAAGTACAATTAATGTAATGTTTAGTTGGCAATCTTGCATCTTTATTCAACAAATTTTTGATGCCTTACTTCCTGGAAAGTTTCCTTACATTGGGAAAAATAAGCCCAAACCATGCTAATGTTACATAATATCTTAAGGAAGCAAACAGTTGATGACCTGTAAACTTTTAAACAGAACAGCGATCTTGGCCAGTCATGTTCCATGTTTTCATTCTAACCAGCTTGGCCTACCTGCCAAGTATAGCCTGTAATAAGACTAGACTTGCATCAGAAATCTCACACATGCTCTACCATGATACATACACACTGCCTGAATGCTGCACATGTATACACACACACACACACTGCTGATACGTATTGTCATTCATATTCATAGTTTGCATTAACCTGGAGAGTGGCAAAGCTAGCTTTATTTTATTTATTGTTATTCTGTTTTGTACTGATCAAAATTTCCATAAAATTCTGTTTGAAGTTATCATTATTATGTTCTGTTTAATTCATGGATTTTTATGCTTTCTCATGGTAACTAGGCCTTCCATATTTGCCAGACTTGATGGTCATGTCTAACTTTAGCCTTAGACCTATATGTACATAGTTGAAGGGGAGGGGGGGGGGCTAGTGTTTCAACTGTGATAATTAAAAATTAAAATTCTGGGATTTATTTTGTAAATTTGATAATTTTATTTCCTACCGAAAGTTTATCAGTAAGAAATTGAGACAGTCGTGTTAGTTTTATTGTCGTAAGCATCTATACTAGAAATTAACATTCCTAAATATTCACAACCTACCTCATTGAAATCTTGGTTCAAAAGAAAGAAATGACGGAAGGAATATTAGAAAGGCTCAGAAAGCCACTAGGGGGACATTCTGAGCTTCCGATTGGTTATTCATGTCATATATAGAAATAAGTGTATATAAGGGAGCATTTCCTAAAATGGAAAGAGGTCAGTGGGGTACCACTGTGTTTGATTTATTATGTTGAGCAATATCTTGGCAAATAGAAGAGATAAGACCTTCTTGTTTTATATTCTACCTTGTCATTATTTGTAATTTGAGTTTTTAATTCGTATGAAACTATAGACTTAGTAATTTGACTTCACAAACATCTAATTTGAACCAGTGCTGCATTCAACATCCCACGTGACACACAAAAATTGATGTTTATCTGTTTTTTTTTATATTTACTTTTAAATTAACAAATTGAGTAATGTATAGTTTTAAACTTTGAGTTATAATCTACAGTTTGATACCAAAGTTATTGACATAAATTCATGAAATAGTAGTTCAATAAGATTTTGAATGCAAGTCAACAAACGAGATGACATGGCCTTTCACCCGTGACCCATCTTGAAAGAGTTAGTCTTTATGGATTTAATACTTCTAACTGTGTATATCTTCACAAAATTTGGCAGTCTTTCAGTTTGTATTATAAGTCTTTCACATACAAAAAATCATATTTTTAGTGAACTATGTTTAATAGACTAAAATAAAGATTTTACAATGAATATATTGAGTATTTGTGTTGAATAGTCCGTGTGTAAAGTAATTTTCATGTTAAAATTAAAAATACTTTTTCCTCATCTCAAAAAATCTCAAATTTCCTTTGTGTAATCCCTAAAACCTCCTAAATGCATTTAAAACTTTTTTTTTTTTTTTGAGTAAAACCTTGCAGTTTATCTGTTATTTTCTCTACCTCTGTCTCAAAATGGGATCGGACAATTTGACCTACTTCGTAACCACCTAAAAAGAAAATCTAAATAAACCTAGATTACCCTTTTTTCTTTCTAGAATGACTTCAACTTGTAACAGGAAACTACAATCATTTATCCTAAGTAGCTTAAAGGTTGTAACAGTATACATCTATTTATACTTAAATTTTATTACCCTTTGAACCATGTCAAACTATTATTCACGCCACATAAATTGTAAATCACGTAGCAAATGTGCAGCTCACATTATGGTATCGAATTACACAATGCATGGACTAGTCACAAGAGTACCTCATAGAAATATTATTATTAATATTTTTTATTTTATCTAACCTAAAAAGTTTTCAATTTTTACATTTTATATACTTTTATAATAATAAATAAAAAATGCACATGAAAAACAAGAAATAAAGTACTAACCTGGGTTCTTTTTTTTTTTTTTTTTTTTGCTCTCAACTTTCAATGAAACTTACCCCTACTTTTTATACTAATTATACAACTGCATTGAATAATTTTTACTTAATTGAACAATGCTCCAAAGAACACAGAATAATAACATATAAAAAAGAAACAATATTCCATAACTATCACAATTTTTCTGGCTTTTTAACTGTAAGGTCGTTGATGTATTTCCTTTGGGAATAAAGATTACATTGGAAGGAAAATAGACAATTCTCTGTACAGATAACAATGTAATATAAAACATCATTTGATAGAGAAAAACTTTGGCTTTCTATTGGTTATAAATAATAGTCTCATGTGTTAGAGACAACTGTTAAGTTTTGAAAGAGAAGATGTGACAAATAGGTATGGCAAGAGAGGTCTGATTTTCTATTTCATTGCTCTGTAACTAAATAAAATTGAAGGCTATGTAAATTATGCTTTGCCTGAATGATGAAAACGTAATGAGTAATTTACATTAAATTTTGTACTTCTTGGAGGGGTGGTAAAAAAAATTGGAGAAGAGGGGAGACATAGATAACAAATGTCACAGTTCTTATATTAGGGTAGATTGAGACTTTTTTTTAAATATTTCTGTATAAAGTTGAAACTCGAATAATACTCAACTGTGATTTATTATCTATATTCTGATGCTGGGTTTATTCATATACATTGAAAATAAAGTGGTTTAATTAAATTTTGAATCTAACTGTGAAAGGTTGTTACATGTACACTTTGACCTACCTGAGATGAAAGGGTTAATTATGTGATACTTTCATGTGGCTTTATTTTTGTGCAATTTAGTGTTATTGATGAAACCTGTAAGAAGTTTATTGTGGACAGCTGTGTGCAAACTATATGCCGTTCAGTTTGTTATGGTACAAAGTTCGAAGCAAAGTAGTTGTGCTTGCCTTGCATATGGGGAATTTTTGCAGTGCATATTCAGTACTTGGAGCGTCAAATATCATGTGTCCTTACAAGTTCTTGTGCATACAATGCTTGAGAGTTCTGGTTAACTAGAACCCGGCATTTCATGTATAACATTTGGGTATAAAAATTGGGTAAACCTTTCCTAATCTTCTACAAGTTTGGCTTAGGTCTTTCCTTTCCTCTTTACCCTACTCTGGAATATTGCTTTGGATACTTTCTTCTGTTGTACCCTCTAAACTTGTTAGATAAGGTGGCTACCATTGCTTGATAGTTTTTGACTTTCAGCTAGAAGGCTGCTTAATGCTGTTAAAACTAGTTCTTTTAAAGAAGTGGCAAGACGAAATGCTTATTGTTCACTATTCCACTTATTCACACTCAAAATTATTTTTAACCGAGTCAGACATACCTTCCAAGGTACCCTTCTATCCTATGTATTGGTTTCTTGATTGGCTGATATTGTAGAACTGGCTAGATAAATTCTGGAACTTTATTTCATAATGATATGGCTGGAGTACTCCAGGAAGGTTCTATAGTCACATATGGCACAGCATTTGTGGTAACAGGTGTAGACAAAATAGTTTATCCTATTCCATGTTTCATAGTAAATGGTGTTTTAAGTTGAAATTCTAGGCTGGATGCAGAAAGAGACACAGTTGGTTTGAACTTTGCATTTACTAATTTATTTTTCTCGAAGTTTTATTTTGTGGCTGATGTTGTTTTTTTCTACCTCATTGATCTTGTTACAATCTTTCTGTACTTCATAGCTTTTTGTTTGTGCTTTACTTCTTCAATCTTGTCATTGTAATCCCTTTGTACATCTCCAATAGCTTCATTCATCTTGTCTTCAATCATATTTATTTTAGCTCTTAATTCTTTAGACATTACATTTCTTTCTTTTAACTCCTCTCTTAAATTCCTTTATCTTTCTTCTTGATCTTTTAATTTTTGGTGTATTTATTTTTCATATTTTTAATTTTGTCTCTTCTTGATCTTTTCATAGTTTTATTGACTTCATCAAATTTTCTATCTTGCTTCATGGTCATGTTGTCATCATCATGAACTTGAAGTTTAATTAGAGTTCTGTTTATTTATTTATTTTCATCAAATTAATCCTGTCAAACACTAATGTTATAGCATGTTCTATGATTGGGTGGTTTTTTTTGGATTATTTAATGAAAATAATGCACAGTCCAGTCCATGTAATGATAATGAATTATTTCTTTAACTCTTTCATCATGGGTATCCTTTACTATGCATGACACAAGGTTTTAGTGTCTTACATTCAAAATTTTATTTATCTACTTTTTGTTTATGTTATACCAATTAGTATAGCATAAAATCTTAGCTAATAATCCATATTTTAATAGTATATAAGTTTTAGGTTCTTAATTCTATAAGGCAATATTTAAAAAAAATTGTGAATTTTCCTTAATATGACACACATGACACATTTTCTCTAGGTATCTTCTCTTCTCTATTTAATCCACCACCCCTACAGTAATTATGAAATTAAATGTAAACTACTCACTATAAAATTGTCATTGCTCAGACAAACCATAATTTTTATAACTTTCAATTATATTTGGTTAGAGATCAAATATGAGGTCGGTTAAATTCACCAACTGCATATAGTTAGGGTAGAGAAAATAACAGATTAAATATAAAGTTTTACTGAAAACAAACCTTTCAAATGTATTTGAAAGGTTTGAGAGATTACATAAATGAAATTGATATTTTTGAGATGGAGAAAAATTTTAAATCATAACATGAAAATCACTTTACACACAGTCTATTCAAAACATATACTTGATATATTCAAGGACAAATCTTTTTTTAGTTTATTAAAAATAATTCCCTAAAAAATATGGGTTTTTTTGTATGTGAAAGACTTACAGTGTTTACTGAAAGACTGACAAATTTTGTGAAGATATATATACACACTATTCAAAATTAAAGACTTTAAATGAGTACAAAGAGGTCACGTGGTTGGTCAAATTTTCTAAGCCCATGTTGAGAGATTTAATGAAATTTGCTACAAGCTACATTTGCTGGTAAGCCTAACTTCAAAAACAGTGTTTCAATAGAAATTCTGAAATTAATGTACCTAAAGTACTTTCAAAATTTCCTCAATAATCAATCCATAATAAACATGCTGGCTGACTCGCTAACTAACACTGAACTGAATAATTCACTGATTTTGATATTTATGTACAATCTAGTTTTCTATGCAATACAAGAATCTTTCAGATTGTTTTGAAGCCTTAACTTTCAGAAATTTGTAGATCTTACATCATTATATAAAACATGCTTTTTCTAGCATACAATGGCATTCTCAAAATAACTAGAAGTTAAATATTTAAGGCTCAGTCTTACATATATAGTTGTTTTTTAAAGTATCTAAATGTTACATACCAATAACTTATAACCAATTTATAATAGTAAAAAATCATAAGCTTTGCTAGTGTGTATTTTTGGAAGGTGTTGGTGTAGAACTATAGAATAAACTAACTGTACAAGAAGAACAAGCATAATATTTTATATTCATTTTTGCAAAAAAACAACTTGTTCATTGAAGTTGCTTCATACTGTTATGGGTTCATTTTTACTTCAGTGTTCTTTGTTATTTTAGGTTTGGATATTCAGGAATGGAAGCATGTTATCCATATTATCAGAATCCTTATCAGGTAAGTGTTTTTTCAATTATTGCCATTTAAATGTATAAGACATCTAAACAAACTAAACATTAAAAATATGCAGTGTTTAAGTAAAATGATTAGTTCTTTACACTAACTATTGAAAAGGCAAGAACAAAATAAATACTTCATACAGTGCAACATGTGACCCCACTGCGAGTGAACAGTATAAAAACAAGTTAAGAGTTTTACAGTTGAAAATTAATAGAATTAAAGTAAAAGAATTGTGGGATTTTAAATATGCAAATCAACAAAGTACCTGACAGCCATAGCCAATGTAAAGTTGTTGTTGAGCAAGTATGTATCAGCAGCATATTTTGATATTATGTGGCCTTTCATAGATAGTGTGATGCCACTGAATATTTATAACTTTTTTGGAAGGATAAGAAACTTAGATCATAATGATGAGTTAAGATCAGGATTCAGGTTTTCTAAGGTGGGGATATCCCTGTACTTAACTCTATTACCCCCGGTTATGCTCTCATAGAGAAAGTAATGTTGCTCTTGTTGTATTTCATTACAAAAATAAAACTATTGGGTGAAATTGTTTGAAATTTGACAATAATGTTCCTAAAATATGTAGTTGCAGAAAAATGAAATATTTAATTTTGATAACATTTAATTGTATAACATCATAATTTTGTAATTTTTTTAACCCATAACATATTTGTGAACTAGAACTTTAAAATTTATTAACATTTCAGGGTAAAAGTATTCAAAAAAGATGCAAAAATAATCTCATTTTTCATAAAAGTATATAAAAACAATTGCAGTTGTTTAGAATTCTTTAAAAAGTCAGGATTATACTTAAGAAATACTATTAGGCATTTAAACGCCACTCGGTACATTAATCATAAAAAAAAAAACCCACACAAACTTAAGTAAATAAAGAAAGCAGAAAAACTGATTTACCCAGAGAAGGAAACTAGGCATCTCTGAAAACTCAGACTCCTGATTATGTTTTTATTTTGTTTTTCCCAATTAAATATCCCAATACATTTTTTTTGGCCAGTTCATGTTTCTATTTGTTTTTGTTTGAATGAAATATGCCATACTCTAGTTTAGAACTTTAATGTTGTTTATACCCATGAATAATTCTTTTTTAATAGGCATTAAGAAAACATTTTTCTTTCTGTTTCTAGTATGATGCCTACTATCATCAGATGTATATGACCCAAGCTCCCCCACCACCTCCACCACCACCGCCACCTCCTGATAACAGTGAGTCTACAAATGAAATGAAGAACAAAAAAACTGTGAAAGAGCAGAGTTCTTCCAGCATAAAGAAAGAAAAAGATGAATTTATCATTCATTCTCAACAACCCCCGCCACCTCCACATGAGTTGGTACAGAGAGGATATAGTCAGCAGGGAGTTTTATCAACTTATTCACCAATGCCAAGTAAACGTAAGTTTGGATGTTCTTTATTAAATATTATTTGAATACTTTTTTTAATACTCTTACATGAGTTTATAGTACTTCAGTTCTTCATTTTAATAAATACAAGGAAAGCTATAAATTGCTTTCCCTAAATTATCAAGAAGAGCAAATTGCTCTCCTCAGAACAAAAAAGAAACAAAAAAAACATGAGGAGCACAAAAACTGAAATTCTAACACAGGTTTGTATTGTGACTGTTCAGGAACTGTTTATTTTGTGCTACAAATCTAATTTAAAAAGTCATTTACAAGACCTCTAACAGATTTGGGGTCATTTTGTCAGAATGATATACATACATAAACCTTAAGCTGAATCTGTTATTTTGCAGCTGACGTCCAAGATAACATCCCATTCCCCCATAACTCACTATTCAAGCTTCAACTGTACTCAGAATCTAAGTTTACAATATTTGATTATAGAGCTTTAACTGTGAGTTGTTGGGGATTTGGATGTAATTTTGGGGGTCAATTGTTAAAATCATATCTACTATGGTTTCAGAAATATGTGCCATCATTAATTGAACATTTCAAAGGAGTGATAACAAGGCTTTCAAAACCAAATATGTGGTCAGTAATCAACTCACTTGGGAATGAGATAATTTATAATGATGAGTCATCTGAGTAATCCAAATTATCAGTGATGGCCTCATCCTCACTAATATTTACCACACGTGAGTCACCTTCAGAATCCACCTCTGATTCTGAGCCACCTCTGTCAGTTTCAAAGTTACTAGACTCGGTGTCTTGCTGGGTAGCACTAGCTGCTGTGTTGTCAGCAGAGCTGTGGCTCATTTTCTTTGGAACAGCACCATGGCCTTGGGTAGATTCCTGCATCTGCAACTTTCTTCGCATTTTGCATCAGACATCATGATTGGCTTTGATTACAAGGAGGTCCTGCATTTGTAATGGTCTAAAATGAACATGCTGCTACAATCAGGGTTCAAAAACAAAAAACAATTTATTCACAATAACAACACTTGGAAATAAATTCAACTATTACCAAAACACAGTTAATAAACAAGTGCCTGGCCAGGACTTCACACTAATATTAATAAGCAATTTATCATAAATATTAATAAATCAGTAATAATGGGCTCAGGAAAAAGAACCAGAAAGAAAAAAAACCTAATTCCGAAAAAAATACTGCAAAATACAATAATATCTTTCAATATCAAATGACAAACAGCAATAGCTATATCTGTCAATAACGATCTCGTGAGTCTCTCTCTTAATGAAGCTTCTGGCAGGGTATTTATTCACAAGAGTACAACCTCATGTGATCATAAATTTACATACTCTTCTGTTACATTAATAGTATCTGTACATCACTGCTAGGGAAGTTGGTGTCAGTTTCATCATACACACACATTTACAAATACAAATGATTATGTAGAAGGTGAGTTAGTGTTTTAATGGAACTAATAATTCACAGATAAACTAAACAATAGAAGGAAATAATAAATAAATGATAAACACAACCATAATCATAAAAAAATAAAAATAGAATTTGCTATCTCGCACACAGTGATGTGGCTCAATGAAAGTATGCGATCCGACAACATGGCCATCAGGATGTTGAAACCACATTCAACTCTGCTGTTACACCATTTGCCATGACAACTTCCACAAGCAAACTCTTCTGTGTGTTTTGTAGAATCTGCTCCCACAGGTTTGTGGTCCCTACACCTTGATAGAAGCTCTTCTGCAAAATATTCAGGGTTTTCCACTCTCGCTTGATCTTACTTACTTCATAGTCAGCAGCTTCCGGTGAAGTTGAGAAGCGGTCAGCAACAGCTTCCAGAGACTCAAGTTGAGATGCTACATCACCCCTCCAGATGACTCACTTTACCCAAAACATGTTTTTATTCAGGCTATTGTCAAAGGAGCTGAATCACTCATCAAAGCACTGGATTAGAACTAGAACCACTTTCTGCCTGAGCATGTCAGTATCATTTGTAACAGTGTCACCACAGTGAGGTGCTACATGAGTGGCTATGTGAATTCCCTGTTTTCTACACTTCTTGTCATGTGGCCCTCTTTGGGAAGATCACAAGATATCTTGTTGCCATTGATAGTGTACCCTGCTTTCATCATGAGGGAGTCAGAGTCTTCATCTTCGAGTAGGTCCTACATTCTCATCTTTGTCAATTCAATGGCTGGCAACACCTTGAAAGTATGAAGTTCTCTTCTCTCAAGCTTCAGTGATGGAGAGGAGACTATCTTCAGGATATCATAAAGTAAATAGCTGGTAGCAAGGAACTGGAAACTTCTCAGTTTCTTCAGGATACCTTTCAGCTTGGAGTTTAGTTTGCTGTGCATGTAGTGTGCAATGGAATTCTTAATTGTCTGAGCAAGAGGGATCCACTTATTCAACAGGATGCAAACACCCTTCTTTGGTGGCCTACAAAGCATGTTCCATGGATCTTTGGAAACTTGTATATCTGACATTCCTGTGCCTTTGCTGTTTCTTCAAAGTGTCTCTTGAATTTTCCATATCTCTTCATCAGATCGTAGAGAGTGATCACCAGATTTTTCACTTGGTCAAAAGCTTCCTCCTTCATTAGGGTGTTCTTTACTGCTAGTTCAAATTAGTGAGAGACACAGTGGAGCCAAATAAGCCAGGGATTCTCAACTTTCTGCTGTCTCACCATAAGACCATTGTAGATTCCTGGGAAAAATATATTTAGTTTTTAAAAGCTGATCATAAACAGTTATCTGTGCAATGTGATACTCTAGTGCATGGGGGATCCAGAGTTACAGAAAAGAGGCACTTGGTAATTGGCAAAAAATGGGTAGACTGCCAAGTGGTGATGGTAGCAAAAAAAATAAAATAATAAATATGGCCTTACACATTTTTGAGAACCCTTTTTGCCCCCTGGATCCATCAATGCCCTGTCATGATGCTCCATGTCAGTAGCCTGTCACTGTCAAACAGGCTGCTTAAATAAATTAGATTTTGTGAAAACAAAAACTGATAAAACATTCTGTTAGATAGATCTGAGAAGCCACAAAATTTTGAGGTTTGTCAAAATACTGTTTGCTATACCAACTCCTCTTGATTTGGTTTTTAAAACTGCATGGTACCCTCACACAGAATTAGATGCATCACCCTGCACCTAAAGTAGAATAATTTCCACAAAGGTTTTCTACTGTAATAAACTTTACCTAAGCTTTTAGTTATGATATGTTCATTTTGTAATCAAGTAATTACCAATAGTGTATAGGGACTTTAAACATATTCATCACTTTTAAAAATTTCTATTTTAGTAAAAACTAAAAGACCACTAGAACTGTGCTCACTATATCACCCGTATTCACTGATGCTCCATTTGTGGTAGCTGACACCAAAGCTTTGGTATACTGATCATGGGGATCTTCAGCATGTTTTTAAGAACACTGTCCATTGACTTGTGAAGATTTTCTGCAGTTGCATCCCCATAAATGTCTTATGTTTTCCAGTGAAGCAACAAAGAATACAGGATGTCCAGTCTTTACAACTCTGACCATGACCAACTCTTTCTCATTTGCAGTTCTTTAGCCTGCGATCCATCATTGAGCATAGAAAATGCAGCAGAAGAGCACAATATTGATAATAACTTTGCACAAATGGCATTTGCAATTTCATGAACAAATTTTCTAGCTCTGTTACTGCTCCCTGTTCCTTCGATTAGTTTGACTCTGTTTGCTTTCTGTACTGTCACAAGAGTTGAAATTGGACAGTGGTAATCTGTTAACAGCCATTAGATAAACAGTTCTCAGCAGTGTTGGTGGGAGTAGCAGATGAACCAAAGGCCTTATCTCCGTATTCAACACCAAGTAACTTCTGGTAGTCCAGATCAACCACGTGTGCCTTAAAGTTTAAAAATAGGTTTCTTTCAATCTGTGTTGATTTCATTTTGATG